CTGTGCATCTGACACAGTTAAAGCTGTACCATTTTTTTCCTGGCATTAAAAGTGTTATGCAAATTTAAAAAGAAATCCCATCTTGCAGTACAGCTTATTTTTATACAAGCAAAAATAGCTCCAGCTGTGAAAGGGTTTGGTCAGATAGTCCTTAGCAAATGTAAAAGAGGTCTTTAAGCAGTTCCTATTCCTGGCTGGTTTCTCTGCCCTCAAAGGATTAGAGGTTAATGTCTCTCAAAAGGGAAGGATGGCTGAATGCATCATGTCTGTGCTACTCAGATCCTTGTGGACTATCTACCTGTCCAAATCTTACCCTATCCAGCAGTTAATAAAATATCAGCCCTTTTACGAGGGCTAGGCATGCATACTAGAGCCTTTCCTTGACTGTAAGTGTCTGTGCAGTGAGATATCTGTGAAAGCTCTGCAGGTTACTATCTTAATATTAATGAAGCCACATTTGTTATGAGTGCCTACTCACTTCTGCAGCACATTTATCACAAGTTATATCCATGTTTAACACAGGGCTTCTATTAGAGTCTTGCAAAACAAAATGCCCAAAACCATTGGAACAAGATAGTTGCATTGAGTCAAAAATGACATATTGACCTAGGTTAAAACAGAAGTCCTATTTGAAAACTGCTTGCTCAGCTGAGCGACTTGGATACAGTTTTAGATTGTATTGAAAACTAAGTGGTATTGAGTAAATGTGGGTTCAGACAAGTCCAGCCTTGTCCCAGTGTCCCCATCTAAGTGAACCTGATGAACATTAAGGGTTTGATGGGATTCTGAAGCTAAAGTTACTTTAATGTTTAGCTGAAGATGTTAATGGCTTGTCCAGTGTGTACCTGACAGATTTGCTGCATTGTCAAGTCAGAGGAGGTAGGTGTTAGTACTCTGTGTAAACATACCATGAGGGTTAGCAAGAACACCAAAGAGGGAAACTATACATAGAGTAATAGCTACAGAAATACTTACGTGGCAATAATTTTACTTTGACTGTTAAGTCATCTTTCAGTACATACAAATAAAATATGGGTTTGGATCATATTAAAGAGCAATACAACAATGAAAAATAACCATCACAAAACCACACAGGCTTTTTGAGTAAGATAAATTATATGTGTATGTGAGTTGCATGAAGAACCTGAAGACCATACCTCAAAGTTCAGCTGTGGATAGTCAAACAAGCTGCCCAGCCAAGAAAGGGTTGAGTCAATAAATGTCAGCAAGGCAAGGAAGGAGATCAGATTCACGGCTATGTTTGCTACCAGTGTGATGGAGGTAGAGGCACCCTGACTGGCTGCTTCCAGCAGATTCTTTGAGTCACTTTGTCAATGAAGAGAAAACAAGAGTATGAACATTTTTCAATTAAAGAATAAATAATAGAACTAAGGGGTATGTGCACTTGGTTAGAAGTCTAGTACCAAAGTTATCTGTTCACTCATAGGGAAAACAATGATGAGACGGAGTAGGCTTTTGCTGTCAATCTTCATGGCAGACACTTGAAGCATGTGTTTGTGGTGCCTTGAGGATGAATTCTCTGACATGGTCAGGGTTGGGCAAGATATGGATCAGGTCTTAATACTGTGGCACTGCTAGGATGAGGGAGTGGTCACTGCTCTTCTTACACGCACCCCTTGCAAAGATGCCTGGGCTGTTCAGGAACAGCTTCTTACAAGCCTTTTTGCTTTGCCTGTCATTCTTAAGACAGTTAAGTCTCCCTGCAGATCGGCAACAAGTTCGCTGATGTTGCAGAAATGATTGCTCCACCTTTGCTTTTGCATGTTTGCACTAACAGATTAATTACAAAAGAAAGATAGCAATGTCACAAGTGGTGACACCTCTTGGTGGGTCACCTCAGGTAGGCATTTCCCTCTTTCTTTGGAGAGTTTACTGTCTGTCCAGACGGAATATGACACCTCCATGTGTTACATTGTCATTGGGCACACTACACCTGAATTCACAAATCAACCATTTGCAGTATATTAGTGTGTAATTAATTTATTGCTTGCAGACCTACCATATAGTCCCCCTAAAGCTTATGTGTGAACAGTGATTTTTCCAAATCTCATTTTTGCACTAATATTAGGATTAACTAGAGCCTAGATCAGCTTACCCTTTTGCCATTTGTAGACCACTTCTCAGAGTTACCAGAGGCTTTTCAATTTCAGGCCAGAATAATTTGGAGGTGGCTAATGATGCTGGTGCTGACATGACAGAAGCAGTCAGTAGGTGGGAGGAGGAAACCTAGAATTCCAGGTGACAGAAAATACTCTGTGATAACCACATGAAGTGCAAACATGAAGGAAAGCAATTAAAAGTTTCAGACATTCAGATGATTTTTCTACAAGGGTTCATTAAAAAGTTCACATTGCTCATAAGGAAAAGAAGACAGGACTTTTGTGATTAATTTCTTCAGAGAGGGACAAAAAGTCCAGTGGGAATGATGCAGGGATACTTTCAAAGCATTTTTAGCTGGACTTCTATATTTAGAAGATTTCAGACAAATCATATATTTTCCAGTTCTTTTCCTCTGTCTTACCCCAAAAGAAATATATGCTCCTAAGACGCTTCCAGCAATAGTTGAGAATCCTGCTGTCATGACTGCATGGAGTTCAGATTTGGTGATGTATGGTAAGTAGGGCCGCACTAGGAGAGGAGACTCTGTCTGGAAGTGAAAAACAAGCATCAAATTCAGAAATTCCCAATAAAAGCCCATAAATTTATTTTATTATCAGGGCAGAAAAATGAGCAGCGATGAACCACTGCTAAATATCATGCTAATATTGCTTTTGGGCTTGGATGCTACTTGGTGATCTTTCTACTTCACTTTGAACCCTGGGACAGACAGTGTTGTAAATGTGGGTTTAATGGATTTCCTATTTAAGTGGTCTATTAGATGCTGCCTCCTGCTTTTATGGCTAAGGCCTTGTACTGCTAGCACCGAATCCTAGTTTTCTGCATCATCTTTCTCTCCTGTCCTTGCCTGCCTTGCATGCCTACTTTTCATCCCACATGCCTTCTGAATTAAAAAAAAACCACCCAAAATTGTTATTTCTTCATAGCCTTGGAGCTATCGTAGCCTTCGTAGCTTGGTAGACATTTTAATGGACATCTATAACCTACATTTATGCTTGACTTTCTGTTGGGAAAACATATGGTTTCCAAATTCCACTCCATTTTGCACTACTGCCAACATACTAACACACTGGAATTTTGTAATCAACCATCAGTACTGTTGTAGTGGAGTCATAGGAAATTTTTTTTGATACACAGATGCTCAGTGAGCAGCACTATTTCACTACCTTCAATAATATTGTGTTATCATGTTTTTTCTATACTCCAACTCACCTGTCCCACAAATATGTTACCTGCAGCTACCAGAGACTCAACAGGCGTTGTCCCCATGAAAACGTGCATAATCCAACCAACCTAAAATGATTGAAAAAAAGAAATAAAAATTTAATCTGCCTATTCCATGCATTTCTAGAGTTAATCATATCAATCTAAGACTTCTGAGACATGTTATGATATTTCCAGGTTAAAGATAACAACTGTTTTTCATGTCTACCCCTGCGCAGCTTGGCCAGGGTCAATGCTACAGTTCCTCTGCATGTGTTCAAAAAGTGTCCCACAGTAGCCAAATGAGTACCTACTGGCAAAAATTCATACCTTTCCAATGAGCCACTGCATGAATCCAATGTGGTAAAGAATAGACATTACTGTGCTGAAGAAAACCACAATGGGCAGTACCTGATTTGGAGACACAAAATCATTAACACATTTAGAGTGGTTTCCTTTCCTTGATTCTGTGGGCCATTTGATTTTTGAAAAAGTGGGTCATGTTTTCAAAATGTTCTTACAGTTATGGAAAACTTGTCATTTAGCTTACACATATGCCATAAAATTATTAACCTTCTAGACTTGTTGTTTGTGCTGGAATTAACTAATTTTCATTTATTTACATAGTTTTTTAACAGTGCTGCAATAGTTTTGAAACTGGTTTAACATGATATACATTAGTTTATAGCCATGTTTAGGTCAGTCCAAGCATTACTTGGCAATAGCATTTACAAAGACTTTGATATATAAAAATTCGATTTTGAAAACCATTGACAGAAATATGTAAAATGGTACTGTGCTGTAGAATTCAGAGCTCTACTTCTCATAGCATCGTAGAATGTTAAGAGTTGGAAGGTAACTTAAAGATCGGCTAGTCCCAACCATCCCTCCCATGGGCAGGGACACCTCCCACCAGAACAGGTTGCTCAAGGCCTTATCTAACCTGGCTTTGAGCACTGCCAGGGTTGAAACATTTGCAACCTACCTGAGCAACCTGTTAAAGTATCTCACTACCCTCACAGTAACAAATTTCTTCCTAATATTATCTAACCTAAATTTCCCCTCTTTCAAATTGTACCCATTACTCTTTGTCCTATCACTACAGTTCCTGACAGAGTCTCTCTTCATCTTCCTTGTTTTTCCCCTTCAGATACTAGAATGTTGTCGTGAGATCTGCATGTAACCTTCTCTTCTCCAGGCAGAACAGCCCCAACTTTCTCCGCCTATCTTTGTAGGGGAGGTGCTCCAGTCCTTTTATCAACTTCATGACTTTCCCCTCCACTGGCTCCAACAGTTCCATGTCCTTCTTATGTTGGGGACACCAGAAATGAATGCAGTACTCCAAGTGAGGATTCACAAGAGTAGAGTAGATGGGGAGAATCACCTACCTCCACACACTGGCCATGCTCCTTTTGATGAAGCCAAGGGTTCAGTTGACCTTCTGGGGTGTGAGTGCACATTGCCAGGTCATGCTGAGTTTTTCATCAACCATCACCCCACCCCACCCCAACCATCATCTCTATATCTGTGTTTTAAAAAACACAGTTTAGATTGCTGTGTAAGCAAAAGTTGAAGAGGTTTCAATTGGAATTGTAATTGACTTGATTTCATAGAATCAAAGGCAGCTTCCTTAGCCTGTGTAGATGCCTTTCAATAAAAGATCATAGAAAAATCCTCTTTTATTCTGTTGTATTTACACTATTCATTATAATGCCAATGTGGAATATTCAAGAACTCTCTAACTGTACACAGAGACAGAATCTGCTTAAAGGTATATACTTCCTAAATACAAAAAGTGAATATAAATCTCTTTCATTGGAGACTGAAGGAAAAATGTTTCCCTTCAACATATAACTCAAAAGAATCATATGAATGCCTAACCCACTGTCTGATGGGTTGTTAAATGTATTGGGTTTTCATTCTGAATAAAACTCATATTACAGGACCTCATCACTGCTATGCTGCTATACAGCAGGAAGAAAAATCCCCCCAAAAGATCCAAAATTAGTAAAACAGATTAGTTACAGTTAGAACAGTACCACTAGGACTAAGAAGCTTTCATTTTTGTTCACTAATGACATAATGCATTTAAACGAAAATCAAGTAATAGAACGAAAAAGAGCAAATAATTTTGTTATTTCAGAACTTCACAGTAAATACAAGCTGTGCCTTTCTAGAGGAGAGTTGGTACTATCAACAATCTTGACAAATTTTTGGAAACTAGATTTAGATGATCAGAACCTTTCATTGAAAGGATGGAGTGCAATTAACCGCTATCACTGTGCTGTTCAATAAGTTAATAAAAGGCTCCTTTCTCTAGTTTGATTCTCTGATCCTTTTTGCAATCCTCTCAGAATAGTTTGTCATGCAGTAATAGCAGAAAGTTTGGTGTAGTAAAAGTAACATCTTTCTCCCTTGCCTTTTCTCTTCTGCCATTTCCCTTCACTGTTTCTAGGCCTGTGCTAGCCAAAGAGGCATCTAACTCCCAGCCAGATCCATATCCTGGCACAACGTGTGTATACTGATGCAATGTGTGTATTGAAATGGGTCTGGAGAAACAGCGGGCAGATAGGCAAAGGTCAACTCTCTCTAGTTGATTGATGGCAAAAATTGTGAGTGACCTCCCATCTTTCAAGCTAAATGGACAGCAAAAGCTCTCAAGTTTGAGAGCTGTGGTTTTGTTCCAGCGAAAGGGGAGAGAACACAATGTTCTGCCAACACTGGGTGACAGCTGGCATCCTTTGGCCTTCTCCACATTCCTCTGAAAATATTTTAGAGAACATTAGAACACCCTTTTCCAGTTTTGTGGTTGGAGTCATTCCTGGATAAAGCACTTGTCTTTATAAAACATGAAGTCTACCTCAAAGTTATGAGTACTCTGAACAGGGGCTCATGATGGGGTTGTCTTCCACTTGCTTCTGCCATGAAAAAATTCACATTTAATTTGCATCTACACACGCCATTACAACCTGCAGGTGGAGACAGCTGTCAACTTTGAGAGAAAATGAGGAGAGAACTGCAAAAAGAAAATATGACCAGGAAGTCAGATGGACCTTAGTTGTAGCAGAAGCCAACTCCTCCAAAAGGTCTAGCACGTTTCTGTATGGGTCCTGTAGTTTAGTTATAACTGCATGCTTAAAATGTTACAATTGCATTTTTCGCTGTGAAAAAACTCAAGTAGAAGTTTAGTCTTCAGTATGTACAGCTCCTGATACGTACTACATACCTTTAAATAGTCAAGTTTTAATGGATGAATACATTTAATGAGCACTCTGAAAAATCGCACAGCCTTTCTATAGAGAATGGTAATCAAAGAGCTCTTTAGAATTACATTTATGTGACCTACAAATGTTGCAGTTTATGCTTCCCAAAATACAACCTCTAAGAAAATAAATTCTTTAATCGGTATGTTTTATGAACTGGATTATTTCCTGTTTATTGTCAATTCTGCAATAAGATTTGACCTTACTAAAGAACTACTTTCCAGATCATGATTACAATGAATGTTACATGGAGAGCAGGGAGTTAAAACTGATGGCTGCTTTCAAATCCCCCTCCCATTTGTGGTTTGGTGTTCGTCTTTTTTCTTATTTTCCTTAAAAGAAGAACTTACTAGTGTTGTTTAAGGAACATCCTGCTTTCATACACTCCTAAAACTTGACCTTCAAAGCAAAGCCTTTCTCAGGGAGCCATAATCCTCCTGGTGCAGAAAGGAAGTTTATTTCCTGCTTGCTCGAAGCAAACTTTGCCTTTCATAGTCAACAGGATAGATGACTTAATACTAAGAGGGTTTTTTCCAACTGCTTAAGTACTTGGGTGTGCTTGGTTATGTGGGCAAGTGTGGTTTTTTTTCAGAACTCTGAAACTCTGTGTCTGCATTCACAAATATCCATTTAAAATAACCCAGTTTATACATGTGAATACATGCATTTATGACTAATTACTGCTTTCAGAACCAGGTACTCAAAGGTTCTAGTGGTGCTGGCCTGAACACCCATACGGGTGTGCATATGCACATATGGGCTGTGTCTGCTCTGGTAACAATGTCCACCTAAGTTAATAAAAACTGATATGTCCCTGCATACTGTTAAGGATGCAGTATGGATACAATTGGATTCTGACGGTTTTCTGCAAAGACATGCCCTATCCCTTGTCTACTCTCTCAAGAGTTAAGCCAATACTGAGACATTTCTTTTTTGAAGGATGCTTTGAAATATCTTGTGGCAAGATTTGGAGAGCTCAAGAGTAACATGCAAACCTCACAAAATAGCTGAAAGACGTAAAAAAAAGCACTTTGGACCATCTTAATGTGTAAATAAATGAAAAGTGTTTCAAGAGAGAATAGGCTGGCTGTCGCTCACTGTCACTGGAAGAGAGAATTCCCTTTCTACAGAAGGAGCAGATGGAGGATGTTTTGGTACTGCTGTGCACTTGTCTGCCACTCTGTTTACCATATATATATATTCCTAGACATATGCAGCTCTGAAAATCAACTCATGAGTTTTGTTTTCTTGGTGTTTTTCAGTGTGAAAAGAACTTGCTTGTTCCTGTTATCCTCTTCTAGATATTCCACATCTTTTGTTGGCTTGAACCATAGAATAAGACTGATGGATATTTGCATACACAGAAGCAAACTTTTGGCTGTCTGGTCCCTAGTTATGACTTTAGTCAGCAAAGTATTTTACATCACCACTGAGGCACTAAAAATCACCTTGATATAATCATATTTATAAGGCATTGTCGAAAACCACAGGAAAAATAACATGGGAGGTGGGAATTAAATAATTTAGCCCCTAAAATATGTAATTGGGAACACAAATTGTTATTTGCGTGCTCAATAGAGTAAAGGTGAGACAAGCCTAGAAAGTAAAATGAAAGGTTTCACTTTAGTATTTCAAAAAATATTGAACTTCAAACACAATTTATATTTATTGATGAAATTCTTCATTTCTTTTTCACCACTAAGATGTTCCAACTATTCTTAGTAGCAACCTATTTTACTGATAGCACCTTCTTTAGTGTTTCTACAGATAGCGCCTACAGATAGCACCTTCGTTCTCAAGTAGTGAAAGAACTAAATTTGAAGATTATCTAGTTTGGAATATCACCTCAAGAAAAAAAGATGAAAGGCATGTAAGCCCATGGTCAGGTCTCTGAAACATCAAAAGAATGATCTGTGAGTAAGTATTGATTAATTTCTTGTGTTTGTTTGGGAGTTTTTTTGTTTGTTTTTTTATTGGGGTTGGTTTGAGGTATTTTTGCTTTATATGTTTTTGATTCCAGCCTAAGCAGGTATTATGGCATAGGATACTTCTTGAAGCAAAACCAGGAAGCATACTGGTGCAGATTAGAGAGCACAGAGCATACAAACTGTATTCCAGCAGTTTCCCAGCAAGGTCTTCTAAGGGAGAGAACTGGGAAATCTCCCTGGGATCTTACTAATGTAATAATAGCACAATGTAATGTAATTCTTCCTGGTTATGCATGAACAGCTTCTATCTTTTACCAGGCATATATAAATATATATCAAGGCTTTCCACTGTTGTGGGGGCAATGTCTGTAAGGCATTGTTCTACACAGCATTTAAGGATGACAACATAGCACGGTATAGCACTTTTACTCATGGAGAGATGGGAAAGATAGGCCAGAGATAATATTTCTGTCAGTGGCCAGGTAAAGCCTTTTAAGCTATTCCTTGTAGAAAGATACCCCAAGGTTCTGTCTACATGCAATATATGTTGTTATAATTGGACTAGATAAGTGCTATCTAACTCAGTGTATAGCAGTAAATGAAAGGCTTCCTGTGGGCTTCCCAAATTTTCTATTCAGAACGTCACATAGTAAGGAACAATTTTCCTCTTAGCTGATTCCTCTGGTGACTATGCAGGTACCACAAGACATATAATAAATTTATTTCCCAGCTATACTGTTCCTTTTTTCTGTTGTCTATCTGCCACATGCAGCGTGTATAAAAACTGTCTCACCTTAAAAGCGAAGAAATGATCCTTATATTTTTCACCAAACACAAACTTGGCACCTGTGTCAGAGTACTCCAGAAAAGTCTAGGGACAGAAAGCAAAGGAAATTAGCCATAAGCTCTTGGAACCTGCCAAAAACTAAGCAGATATCGCTAGCTGTCTTGCAGAGATCTGGTGAAGTCCAAGGAGCTTGTGCTCTATATGAATCCAGGCCTCATTGACTGTGTCTGGCTGAATTGAGGGCCTCTGCCCTGCTCTAGTAAGAGTGCAGTCTCCCTCAGGGTATATAGGCAAATGGCAAGGGTGTAGGGCACGAATTCCTTGAGTACCCAACACAATAGAGGCCATAAGGTAAACTAAAAGAAACATTTATTTTTTCATCCCGACACTGTGGTGCATTTTTATGCTCCATCATGCAAGTAAGTGCAAAAATAATACAGCTTAAAATAGAGATTTAATGGCTGAAGTAATGAGTTTTGGAAGGAGTACCTAATAGCTAACCTAAAGAAATCTACTTTTTAATTTAGATCCAGTGTTATGTTTTTATACTCCTGATGTCAACATATGCATTAATGATACAGTTTAAACTGGAGTTAAAGTACAGTTTATAACAGCTATGGTAATGAGTGCTGACAGGAGCAACCGTAAGCCATATGACGTTAATGAAAGGGAGCACCAGAACTGCTTCAGTTAGAGACTGAGAACCTGGTGACAAAACCCAGATGACTCCCACTGCTTGCAGATTAGACAGACGTCAGACCTGTGCCTTTGCTCCCACAGAGAGACAGTACATTCTGCACTGTATTGTTTTACATGTGCTTAATTACCTGTGAAGAGCAGCTGTGAGAATAGTATCCCTGGGGTGAAAAGTCTGAATGTCCTTCAGTGGGTACTCTCTGATCTACATTTTGGATATTGCTTATTCATTACTTTACAGTAATAGGCTTTTTAAAAAAACTTTATGTCTGCAGGGATACCTGCACACAGATCCCATCCACTCTCTAGAGATATTTTTCTGCTTGCAGATGTGGATTTTGCCACCTGTACGTAGTTAAATTAATTTTCTTGTATATCATGAGGACTATGAAATGTCCCTCATGCCAGGACTGCTGCTACTCTGAAGACAACAGTGGTTCTGCCTTAAACTTCAAGGCTTTTCAGCATGTCACATTTATTTGCAAGGGTGCTTTGGAGTTGGGCCACATCTAAAGAGTTTCTATGAGTGCCCTGGCACAATAGTGGTTTTATGTTTCAAGGATGCAAGTTTTAACTTCAAGGATGATAAATCCATTGAGAAATAGGGTCATTCTGGCCATTACTCATCAGCCTGTCCCCCACAGTCTTGTATTAACTGGACAAAAAAAAAGAGAAAGTTGAATTCAGATAGTCAATTACCATTCTGAGAACCCAGTCTTCCTTAAGAGGAGAAAATATTCAGGAGGGAACAGATCCTTGAACAGACTGACTGTTATGTAAGAGTCTCAAGACAGAAAATTACAGTAAAAAAAGTAAGGATTTTGCCCAATAGCTTACCTGGATCTGAATGCCTAGCCAGTTAAATACATCAAAACCCACGTTGGTCCTCAGAATAAGAAGCCCAAGAATAAACTGCATTCCTATTCCTGAAAGTACTGGTCTCCAAGCAACCTAGATAGACAGAAAAATAAAGAAACTGTTTGTCATTTAAATAAATAATAATTTACTTCAGACATTTATTAAAATAAGGCAAGGGGATTGTCTGACTATACTGCAGCATAGGAGCAGCTGCTAAACCAGGCTGTAATGGACTTGGATCTTCACATACCTGGACAGAGAATAAGGAGATTTTGTTACAGGGTTTGTCCTTGGTAATTTCAACTCTGTTTCTGTTCACCAGCTTAAAAGACTTTTGATACTTGAGAACTACTCAGTCTTATATTGTAATTCATCATATAAAGGCAGTTGTAAGAAAAACTGTGGCTGCCTGTGATAAGTTCCTCTATAGTTCCTTCCTTCAGTTCACTACACTGAAGATTCCTGCTCTGCTGCCTCAGAAAACATCTTCGGTTTGTGAAAATTTGGTCAAATTATTTACAAGACAAGGAGTTGAAATGGCATTCTAATTTACTCAGATTGTATTTGAATAATACAAATCAATTAGGTGCAATGAGGACTCATGGGAGAGCACAATGCATTTGGAGTAGTTTGCACCTCAGCTGGAGATAGCAGCAGTTGCAGAGAATAGGACGGTTTCATTAGTCCTTGCTGAGAGGACTTCACCCTTTAAGGAAGTCTCAGCACTGATGCAAGAAGGGTGGAAAGTGTCAGTGAAACTTCATGACCTGGACAGTGGATATATGACTAACAAAAGCATGAACTGGTATGTGAGGCATGCACACAGGAGTACAAGCTGAGGTGGGAGTTGTGGTGGCTGAACTAAGCCCTTTGTAATACCACAGCAGAACAGAGTGGTCACCTCTGATGGAAGATTAAAATAAATGGCATTGACCAGCCTCTGGGAACAGGTGAGTGAGAAGTGAAGACCTCCACTTGGCCTCAGTTTTTGAGTTTGCAGTGGGAAGCAAACTTGTGAGGGATTAAGAGGTATACAAGGCAACCGTATCTTCAGTTCCATGCAATTTGTGTTAATTAGTGTCCTCAAATAAGTACCTGTCATGTCCAGAGGACTGTGGTGAGGCTCCTGTGGGTGAAAATGTGGAGAAGGCCTACCTCTCCAGGACCAAATGTGTTCCAACCCGCAACAGAGCTGGAATAAAAGATGGGCAGGAGCTTCCCAAAACAACGAGAGGCGGATGCTGGTACAGCCCCACACATGCTCACCAAGAGCAAAATTACTTGCCTCAGAAATTAAATACATCACTTGGTATGGGGCAAGCCTAAATTTTTACTTAAATTTTAATAAGCATCTGTTACTCTTACTAAACTTGGTGCTCGGTTAGGGGAACGGGTTTTGAGACATTGAATAAAAAAATCCCAGAAGAGCCAACATGGACTAAATACTCACTCTGGTTGGATATTTGGAAAAGATAAGCAGCAGGAGAACATACATCACAAGCCCACCAAAGGAGATTAGCTGGCGGGATCCCTGTTTCATTGTGTCAAAGATGAGCCAGCAGATGACAGTTATAATAAGAGCTGCACACAACACCCTGGGGGAAAAAAGCATCATGACATCCTGAAAAAGACCAGATATTCCTTTCCCTTCCCCTACCCACAACACTTATATTTCTGTTTGTGAATGAACTCTCTGTGCAATGTTGTAGACTGAAACATATGGCTCTACACAAGCAGGAATATGCCTTTGCTGATGCACCTCTAACAACAACATCACTTGGTAGCATCCCAAAGAAGTGTCCTCCAATAGGGTTCCTCAAGCCAGAGTAAAAGCCCAGAGGAAAATCCAATAAAGCATGAGTGACTCTTGTCTGAGTATTATTTCTATTAAACGAAGTGTGCTATCTTCCTCTCTCACTCCATCCTCCTCTTTTTTCCCTTCCTTCCTTTCCTTTGTTGAATCTTTCCTTAGCTCTGGGCAAGACAGGCTGTGGTTTTGACAAATTGCACTGTGCCATTTAACTAGCAAGTCTATGAAGAACACTCTATCGAGGAGCAGGTTATAAATGGTCTATTTCTCTGTAACAGATGTAGTCTGTTAAGCTGTATCAGAAACAATGATGAGAGCCATGTGTACATCCGTGTTTCAGTGTTTCTATGGTCCCTACTATCACAAAACCATATTTATTGAAGGTAATTACCACAACGACAGCCTGAAAGGCAGCAAAATACATCATCCCATATATAGAGGGGAAATAAACACAGTCCAAAGTTTTTAATGCTACTTGTGTCTAACAGTTAGCTTCCACTGACTTCAGAAATGGACACCCAAAATCCATTTTTAGACCTGGATTAAAAAACGTTGCACACTAACTCCACAAAATAGCTTGGCCATTGCAAAGCTGAATAGCACTTTCTACACTTGAGAGACTTTCTGTCTCTTGGAGGAATATGGTTAAGCACTTAATCTATGATATGGATTGCAGCCCAGGTAATACAGCACTTACTGCCCCCAGTTTGTTCCATCTGCTACCTGGGGCTCTCCTGTTCCTTTTGCTCCTTCCCCCAAAGAGGCTGCCAGACTGCCTAATGGACGTGTGTCTCTGTGACTGATCTCTAATGTGACTCCTGAACAGAAGGATTACAATCTTTATAGCACCTTTCTGAGCAAAACCACTTTTAAATCTTAAGAATAAGATGGGACATTTTCCTGAACTGAGAATGACTCCACCTTAGAGTTCTTTCTCTCTGAGGTAGAAAGTAACCTAGCTGAAATAGAATGCAGCTGGCCAGTTTGCTTTTCCTTTTTAATGATATTTCATGTGGTCTTTTCTTCAGTCTACAAGGCTCCTTTGGCTCCTCAATTTCCCAGGGATAACTTCAACATTCCTGATACGTGCTCAGGAATACTTGAAATAAGTATCTGCCAGATTGAATTAGCTACCATTTATCTGACAGATGAATGTCTACCATCCCAAATTAAGGTTATATGACCTTATTATGACACTGATTGTGGCTGGCGTGTTTTGATTCCTGAAGGCCAAGTAAAAATTGTTATGGGGATACATGGAAAAACAGTGACTAGGTAACACACTCCAGTCATTAGCAGTCTGCATATGTTAGAGTTAAGGGTTTTGTGAACCTAACAGTTCTCTGAACAAATGACAGTGAGGCACTTTCTGGCCTGCAGAGTGAATGCAACATACCTGAACTTCTGTGAATGTATTCTCTCCCAACTACAAACTTGTCCTATCTTAATCTTTGGTATTTTTGTACACTTTATGTCAAGATTTTCGATACCTAGCTACTGCATTTCAAACTTAAAGGTGTGTCTGATATCTATATACTGGAAAATATGAATTATTCTGTGATCTTATTGAAATTTGTATGATTGACCCATCTCCCTGTGGGTGTAAGTTGAAATAAAACTATAGGAGTAACTTGACTAATGCATTGTTTTTCTACAAAAATAGAAAGTAATTAATATTTACCATTTCAGCCAAAACCACTGTTTTTTCAGATATCTTTCTCCAGGGGAAAAGAATACAGTAATTTTGTCTTCATACTTAGCTATTAAAAAATCCCAGCAGATGAAGAATGTGACCACAACAGTGATGATAAAGAGTGGCAAGGCTCTCTGAAATTTCAAGCTGCAGGCTGCAATAAGTATTGCCAGGTATGCTGTCACAGAAACAAGAATATACATATCCGTTAGGTTGGTCTTTTAAAAAACAAATCATAAGGATCAAATCTTAAATTTATAGGATGTGATTAAAGTCAGGCCCGTGTTGATCTTTTCAGTGCTTTTCTGACTCTTTGCCGACATACTGAAAAATTTTGCTTTTGTAAATGGTGATGTAGTATGCTCACAATATGAAAGATGGCTTTCATTCTGTTAAAGAAGGTTATATGCTTTGGCCGAGTTCATATCAAACATGTTAACCACTTGAGAAAATTAAATACAAAGAAAAACACGGAACCTCTTTTTCCTGTGTAAAACCTGTGAATTAAGAGCATGAGTCTCATTCCTTCTTTCATAAGAGAATGAGTGTATCCAATAAAACTAGAAAAAAACCCCTGGAAATATGTAAATTGACTGCTTTGATGGCCCTCTGAATTAAGGCTTAAAAGTGAAGCTTAAAAGTAGTTTACTTCTTAAAAAAAGCTGTGAAATTATTTGCCATTTGGCAGTCTCATTGCTGATACATGCTGGCCACAGAAATATTCAGTTCTTGTAAATAACAATTTGATTTTGTCTATGGTAAATAAGGAAGAAAGACTACTTATTTTTGTAAGGCAAGTTGTTTTTTTGTGTAATTACTATATGTAACCCTGACATATCCTTAGCACCCACTTGTTCTCTTGAGCCATGACATGCCTGTACTATGACAAAGCAAGAAAAGCTGATGTTATGAAGACAGCATGCAAACAGTGCTTTTATAACCACTTTCTGGTATGCTGGTGCCTACCTCACCAATGTGTTTCAGTTCTATATGTTCTCAGTGGTAGTAGTAAGAAAATCACAAAAACAAACTTGGTGAAACAAACCAACCTACTGGCTAATTAGGAAAGACAGAAAGAAGAATATCTGAATGATTCTTCAGTGCATGCTGTCATAAACACATTTCCTCTGAAAAACATTTTTTGTGGATATTGAGTGATATGGGTCAGAAAAGAAAACTCCTACTGACTTAAGTTTAGTCCTGTTTGGTGCCTGACTCTTTTCTTTAATGTGATTTCATAGTTTTGGGCAAGTTCCTGAAACTGTAATTTTGGAGGCAGCTGGCAGTGGAGTAGACATAAAGACTGAACTATCCTGCTATCACAAACATAATTGTTAGTCAGAGTAGAAACATGCCAGAGGAGCAGTTTAGCAAGATTTGTGGGTTTTGTTTCGAAATGAGAGGAAGTTTTGCGATCGGTAGTTTTTTTCTGGTACTAAATGCACTTTTAATTCCTTTGAAATGTGTTTTTAAAGACAGACAAGAGTTTTTTGTGTCACATAGAAGACAAGCACAACCTATAATCTCATGCAGGCATATAAATAAAACTTCAGCAACGCTGAGTGTAATATATACTGTACCTGTCATTAAAATTCCATAGATCACATAGTGAATTCTGATTTTATGTTTCTTGTAAAATTCACAGATTTTATCATAGTTCTTTTCTAATTGCCTAGAAAAATAGGAAAAAAATAATGAAGAACAGAAAATGTAAGCTTTTGCTGAAGAAAATTGGGTTAAGTTGGTCAAAATTTCTCCACTGCAGTTGGAACTTGTTAACGGTTAAATTTGGCTCCCCAGGTGCCAAATAAAATTGTGCCCTTTGAGCGAGACTTCTTTGGATTGATGTTGGACAAATAAAAAAGAAAATATGGCAGAAATCTAGCTGGACAATACGTTAATTACAATAGGCCAAAGTCAGCAGGCCAGTTCCACTAGCCCCTGATGTGCAGCAGTTCTGTGAAGGGGTCTGTTAAGGTAGGTACAGATTCTGGGCCCATTAATAGACCCATGAAGTCTGTTAATACAACTGGCCCAGCACTACTATGTGGAGCAGTAGGGTTGGCACAACTGTGAAGGCCTAAGGCTGCATTTTTTGTGTAAAATAACCAATATCCACCCAAAACCTTATTACAGTGGGCATAGATGTTTCTGGATTTTTGAAAATTTGGTTGTGAATTACATTAACTTTACACCTCATCAGCTCATGGAAGTTAAAATTATGTTATATTTGAACATCCTGCTCTAGTATCAGTTCTTCCAACTATTATGTGTTTCACTTTCTTTATTTCCTCACCTCAGTAAAGGTAACACAGAGTGATTTCATGAAGGAGGTTGAAATTTAGAGAAATAGCAGTTAATGGAGTTAATTCAACACAGATTTCCAATTATAAGTATGCTGATGATACAGATGTATTTCAGTTACGAAAGCTGTAGCTACCTACATAAACATCCTCATATTGTGCAAGCTGAAAAAGAAATCACAGCTGTACCTTTGTCATCTCAGAGGTACTGCTTTAGAAAGACATCTCTGAAGCAGTGTCTCACACCCTCATTCTATAAAAACAACATTATATTTAGAAATACTAATTATCCAGACTCTACTTGTTTTGAAACTAGATGCAGTTCGAGTTAGATGCATACCAAAATTCAAAAATACCCTTCTTTTCTGCACTTAAAAGAAAATTGATTAAATTTAAATTAATTTTGGGTGAAATAAGTAATATTAATTTAATTCATATCAGCATTCAAAACAATAGAGCAGGAACACTTGCCTTCAGCAGTAAAAGTGTTATACAATCTCTCAGAAATTGTGATTGCTTTTGATGTTTCAAGTTTAGTTCTGAGAATTCCTGTTGCTTCACAAATCACAGCATCTTTTTTTTTTTAACTTATAAGAACATTAGGTTATCTATCCAATCTCAGCAGAGAGGTTAGACACAACAGAAAAAGAAAAAAAGGAGAAATGAGAGATAGAGGCATGAAAAAGCCAATTACTTTATGAAATTTATGGCTCATTTATCAACCAAGAGAAAAAAGAAATAATATCTACTATCTGTTACTGCTACTTATGAGTCCTTTGGGATTTAAAATTGCTACTTTCAGATTAGAATTTCTTGTAATCTCTTATTTGCTTTAATATATCTACTTTTTGTTTTATTAATTTAGGTTATTATTACTTTGGTGGTCTTTTGGCACCAAAAGATCTTAAATATCCAGACATATGTCATAAATATGCAGCTCCCTTCTGAAAGAAGACAGAAAAAAATCTTCCTTATGAAATCTGGTTAATTTACTAAGGAAATATTATTTCCTAAAAGCTGATCCTAGAGTCTTGAAATGCAGCACATTGCTGATGGTTTTTACTTAACCGAAGATGTTGAAAAAACAGATCTCACTTAAGCACATTACTATGAAATATTTGTTTATGCCAAAACTATTCTTGTTTGCATTTCACAACTCAGAAATCTATTTTCTATTGCACATGTACTCCAGAAGTGAATGTTAAAACCTTGCACTTGTAGTGAATCATTATCAATGGACTGATCTTTCAAAGGGGCTGTCTCAGACCACAGGCTATTCAGTACTATCTGTCATTGAAACAAGATAATAACACAAATGAAGATTCAGCATGACAGAAAAAAAAATACAAGAAAACTACATCAAAATATAATTTTAAGTATTGTATATTCTATAGAGGGTTTCTTGTTTTCTCAAAAAAAAAAAGGCAAAAAATCAAAAAACCTAATCCTCGAGTAAAATGTAGATGTATGTTTTTGCTCTGTGGTCACTTGGAAACAGTGCAAAGGAAGTGTAATAATTTTGCTCCATCAAAATGGCTTTTCCCACAGCTGTTCTGTTCTTATTTTGCATGAGGGTAAATGACTATGCAAACTGAAAGACAATAGTGAATCTTTAACTTTCTGAAAGAGACCGCTGTTTAACTGTGTTTTAAAGAGACCTTACTTTAAAAAACTGTTATGGAAATGCTGGAAAAGTAGTTATTGTGCAAAAATTAAAAATACTGCTCCTTTAATTTGCAAAGCTTTAAAAGGATAATTCCACAATCACCTACGTCAGTTGTAAGGTATAATAATTTTAAACATGCTGTGTTCCTGTATTACACAAATTGCTAGGTGATACAAACATCTATGCAGCATAGGGGTATGGCAGTGAAATTCAGAGCTGTCACTCCAGAAGCAGAAACACTAGCAGCTTTTTGCTTAGGCCAGGATGAAGTGAGTGCAAAACTTACTCATTTGTAATGCATACCCTTTCAAGCGTGGTTGCTCATCATCTACTGAGGCACATTTGTTTTCAAGCAGATCACTCTCAATATTGATGTATTCATCCCCCTGGAAAACAGATCCATGCTGAGGTTGTGAGAGGGGTGCATGCTTGTTAAACAAGGTATAAAAGACATCCCAACTGGCACATTGCTGAAGCAGTTTCAAGTTTCTAGTCTGCACTGTGTGCATGGCTCCAGCTCTCTTGTCTGCCACCAACTCTGTGACCAGTATCAGGCAAACCTAGTGTTTAGCTGTGAACGTTCTCAAGCCATCCGCACCATTTTCAAAAGGGAAATAAAAGGGGGAAGACATACCAGTGTTACTCAGAGTTGAAGAGGGTGGGGTCCCATACAGAGTACCACTGCAGAGAGGCAAAAAGCAAGAGCTGCAGAGCAGCGGGTAGGGACAGCAGAGCTGCTATTTAGCCAGCTTGCCCAGCACCTCATGTAGACATTCCAAACTTCAATATGGATGGAACTCTTGTGTAGAGATAAGGGTTAAATTGAGAGAAGCTTACTGTTTAAAAAATTTAACTAAGTGAAGAGATTTACTCTTAAGAAAGGCTGCTCTGAAAGGATAATAACTAACAATCTTTTAAAGAGAGCTATCATCCACAGGCTTTGTAGCAGAAACACAAAACTTGGCCAGATAGTGCACTTTCATCTGGAAAATAGATTTTTGCTATCTGAATCCACGTAAGCCTGGCCACATTATAGCTTTTGAGCAACTACAGGCTGACATCCACCCTGTTTGAAGACTGTCTTGAGGTGGCCAGGAGCAGCACAACCCCCACAAGCTCCTTGGCACACCCAAGGGGGCTGCCAAGCCCACACTACGTTACTTCCCCCATCACTGTCCAGCAGGGCACAGGGAAAGGCCCTGTCCCACAGCTACAGCCCTCCATGCTCATGGTGGGGCCTATGGAGGGGTTGATGACCCAGGGTAGGTGACCATTGCATTCAGACAGCGGTGTACCCAGTTGGGGCCTGGGTGCCACGCTCGTCCCTCCTCCTTTGAATGCTGTGGCAGGGCAGCATGACCAGCTGCTTGCCCCGCAGTGCCCGGCCAGCACCGGGGTGCCTGATCGAGTGGACATGTTCTACCCTCTTGAGAGGAGTGGCCCACAGTACCCCCAGGCACTTTTGGAACAGTGGCAATCTGCAAGTAGGTTTACCTTTTCTTTTTCTGCCACTGTTGTTTCTAACTCCATCTCCCAATCTGCTGTGGAAAGCAAGGCCCACCACAGACCTTGCCCTGGCCCCTGCATTCTGTCTGGATTTCCTGCTGCAGGGGCTGCCGGAAGTCCTGGAAAGCCCTCAGATAGTTGCTAGGAAAAGATTTGAACCACAGTCTTAGAACAGCCTATGTTAGAAGGGACCACAAGATCATCTAGTTCCAACCTCCCTGCCATGGGGAGGGACACCTTCCACTAGATCAGATTGCTCAAAGTTTCAGTCATCTTGGCCTTGAACACCTCTGGGGATGGGGCATCCACAACTTCTCTGAGCAAACTGTTCCAGTGCCTCACCACCCTCACAGTAAATAATTTCTTCCTGATACCTCATCTAAACCCACCCTTCTTCACTGTCCTATCATTACCCTTATGAACAGTTGTTCTCCCCCATTTTTTTAGAAGCCCGGTTTAAGTGCAGAAAGGCTGCAGTGGGATCTTCCCAATGCCTTCTCTTCTCCCAGCTAAACAACCTCATCACTGTCAGCCTGTCAAATGTCTTCAGACTTTGAATGGTCTGAAATATGGAGAGAGTGGAGCGGTACATTTGTGGAAGCTGCTGTTCATTCCCCTAGGGAAAGCTGAGCCTGACACGAAGAGGAGTCTCTTGCTCCTCTTGACTGCAGTTTTTGAAGGGTGCGTGTGGAAGAGTTGTGTAGCTCTGTGAAGCTGCACTGATACTTATGGCTGATTTTTGCTAAACTGAATTTGTTTCTCTCTTTTGTCTTGACTGTGAGATAAAGAAAAATGCCTACTAAGTTGCTATTATTTTTAGTAACTGGCAGTAACTCTTCTCATTGGTTGCAGGAGTTAGGCTTGTCATCTGAGGGACAAAGAGTGCTGATAGTATGTAAATATCATTTATTCCTGGGCTTAAGTTTGGGGTTTGTTGCATAGAAGCGTTTCTCACAGATTTTTGAACCTACATTATAAACCAGGAGAGTCCCATCCCTCTGTGTTGAAGAGCCATGCTTTCACATTTACAGGCATCTATAGTCTCTTTGGCACTATGTCCACTCTCCCAGTCACAGCCTGAAGCTCATGTCCTCCAGGTATTTCCTTCATCCCCACCACCATCTCCAGTGCCCCTACTTCACGTGCTGACAAGGTCAGACCATGCTCCCCCATCACTTTCCCCCATGCCACTGCATACTCCCTGGGCTTGGATCACCCACAGCTTGGGCTCTGGTTCTTTGACTTTGTGAAATATATGGTTTGTCTTGAGAATATAACCTATTTTTCCTTTCAAGTATTTCAATTAAAAAAAATCAATCCAAATATTTTCACATTTTTTACAATGTATTTAAATATGCTCAGAATATTATTATGTCACTATTTTACTATCACAAATACTTTCCTACATTGACATTAAAAGGTGTTCAGAAAATCTGAAATAAAAGACAACTTTGTGTGAAACTAGGCAGATACACAAGGAAAATGGATCCAAACCCCTTTTCTTCTTCTGTTTTTTTCTAGCGGACAAACATAATATCAGATCTGGCTCTTGGTGAGTGTTGGCCCCTGCTGAGGGTAACCCAAGGGCTGTGTGGAGCTTATAGACTTCTGCCAGCTAGGCTCAAGCAAAATTCATACGCTGCAGACCCTCAAAATAAATTTTTATGCATCAGTCACAGTATGCCTGGGAAAGTGTCAATGTGGGTATGCTCATCTCTGCTAAACTTTCACCAAGTAGAGGCTGAATGCTTTCAGATGGAGTCTTTCAGTTGGAAATTGGTTTTTCTGATAAAAATCAAGTTTCATTGACTGCCACTATTTTCTCCAATTTTCTACAGTTTCAAGCAATTCTGAAAGTCCTTTTTTTTTCTTTTTGTTTTAAAAATTTCCTTTTTTTCTGGCTTTTTTTTTGAAGAGAAAATTATAGGTGTCGTCTACAACCTTTCTCTCCTAAGATCTCAGATCCCAGTCTAGTTCCCAGGACTGCATATCAGAACACTCCAAGTGATCCTTTCTACTACTGTATATCTGGAATTACTTTAACTTTGAAATCAGGGGCATTACTTTGGCAGCATGCTTTTGCTGCCTCTGATTATAGCCAGAAAAAACAATGGAAGATAGAAATTACTACCACTGCATCAGGTATTTCTTATGTGCTCATTCAAGTACCATCACCAAAATTGGCAAGTAGATATGATTACAACATAATGGAACATTTAGAATAGAAGTTTATTTCTGAACTGGATGTGAAAATGTTAATGCTAGACTCTAGTGAAACACCTGTGGGTTTTTTTAACCTGACTCTCATGTTTTCATAGTGAGCTACTCACTGTCTGGGTTTAAACAAACATACAGTTAAAAGAAGCTAAAATGAATATTTATATTATTAAAGTAATCTGTAATGTGTTTTTTTCTTCCTTCTCTGGTCAGTTTTACACTGGAGCTATTGTCCCAAGTTTATGTTTGTCTGAAATTTCCCCTATTTTGGATGTTCATTTAATAATTAAATATTACTGAATTTATTATTAAATATTTAATAATATGTATTCTCTGTCAGACTGAAAGATTGTATCACTAAACCCATTGTTTAAAGATTCTCCTTTTCTACCTTCTCATGAGAAAATGGTTCTATGTCAACTCCATGTCCACAGTATTCCCTCTGACTGCCATTTCTCATGCCTCTTTTGTGTCTTGTATGAAGCCATTATGACAAAAGAATACATTTTTTCTGAACCCTATACATCCTGATATTTTAACATGTTTTTACCTAGATGTATTTTTGAGAACAGAACTCAGAAGTTATAAACAGAAGTTTATACACTTCAAATGAAATTCAAATTTTGTTAAAATATTTGTCTTGGTTGTGTTATCACAGCCAATTACTGAAATCGAATTTTAGATCTGCGAAGTTACATAAAGTTATTTGGGAAAAAAAAAAAAAAAAGAAAGAAAAAACCATACCTGATTAGTGTGTCCTGTTCTTTTATTTTGTGAATTCTTGATTTTCTGTGAACTGTCTCCAAGGCCTTTGAGATTTGTAGTATCCACACTTTCACTGTCATTCTAGAACATGACAAGACCAGAAATTGTGTTGGCTCAAATCAGAAGCTGAAAGCCTTTCTCATATGTGGTAAGAAATGATGTATGCTCTGATGCCTGTACTTCCAAATGAACAAGTGAATAGATGAAGTAAATGGCCTCAAGTTGCACCAGCAGAGGTTTAGATTAAATACTGGGAAATATTTCTTCGCTGAAAGGGTGGTCGGGCACTGGAACAGGCTGCCCAGGGAAGTGGTGGAATGACCAGGCCTAAAGTGTTCCAAAAACCTGTAGATGTGGCACTTTGGGGTTGTGGTTAAGTGGTGAAAACGGTGGAGCTAGGTTAATGGTTGGACTTGATGATCTCAGCGGTCTTTTACAGTCTAAATGATTCTACAATTCTGTGTATTTCTTTACTAGTACAGGGAGCCCAAAACTCGGTGTACAGAGCTTGACTCTTCCAGTCCCTGCACTATTGCACAAAGCTGCATCAGCCATGGATGGTGCTCAGTGAAACAGGAGGCTAGGCCCAAAAGAGTTAACTAAGAAATTTGGGCCTGCAAACAAGCTACCAACATCCAAAACGATCTGTGCTTGTTCTGTTCTACTTACTGGACCAAAGCTTCAGAGAATTGTACAAGAACATGTAAGAGGCCTAGAAGCAATAAATTAGAAATATAACAGGATCAGGTAGACATTTGAATAGGAGAAATAGGCTGGGAGCCAGGGCTTTTTCCAAGCTTCAGTGAGCGGGTCAAGAACAATGGAAGAGAAGAAGGGTCAGGCTGAGGAAGATGAGTTTAAGCCCCCAGACCCACCAAAATTGAGGGCCAAGAGAAGCACTGCCCCAAGCCCCGCCTGAGCTCCACCTATACTCCGCCTGTTATTAATATGCATAGATAGATGTTGTAATCACTTGAATATGCATTTAATCACATCTGAAGATTGTATGAAAATGCTGATTTTGTGTGAAGCCTTTGAGCAAGTTTGTCCAGCGCGAGCTGGCTTGCTCCCAACGTTGAATAAACAAATACCTTGCTGCTTAAAGATAAAAAGTCTCTGAGCAGTTTCTCAGACCTATTTTTCAGATTCACAGTTAATGGGTATCTGCTATTTTCTTGACTAAACTCACATGTCCTCAGGCTGCTGCCCTTTGTCTCAGAACTGGTTCAACAAGTTAACAAAGATCCTGCCTTCCTCCTCATCAGGGGCAAAATGGACTATTTGGGCCTTTCCTGGTTGTTAGTACCTTTGCTCTGGTATATATACTCCTTATGCACACGCAGTACATGTGTATTTTTAAAAAAATATGTACTTCTATTGCTCTTGGAATAAAACGCTCAGGGTGTCTTTAAAGAGAGGAGTTAGCTTTACTGCATTAATCCTCTGAGGTATAGCTTTTATCAGAGTATACTGAGACAGCCATAACCAGTTCCACTATTTCTAATTTTTTTAAAAAATAAATTCTGAAGCTGAGTTTTCTTGTTTCTTAATGTTATGAAGGATCCATTATCTCTGTTTAATGGTCCTTAAAGGTCTAGTTCTTATTTTGGTTTTGTAAGAAAGCTGCTTAAACAAAATATCAGGTTATGAATGTTTTATATTTCAGTGATTTCTTATGGCAGCAGTTACAGTACAGCCATGTCACTGGGTTTTATTGCATTAACTATCTCATTATTTGCATTTAGCCTTATAATAAAACAATCACTTCCAAATGAACAACACAAAATAAGCATAATTATAGTAAATTATGATAAAGGCAGGAATAAGCAGTACTACTAAAAATAAATTGAATTTTCCCTTTTAGCAGACACATGACCTTAGAAACAACTGGAACACTGTTCAGTAACATATTCTCCTTAAAGTCACTTTAACTTTAAACCTGATAAAAAAACCCCTGTTTCAGTAAAAGTGGTTCTGTAACCCTGAGTGTCTGGGGGAGAGAGGAGTCACAATTAGCTGTTTACTCATGTGTTGTGGTCTTGATACATTAGTTCCCTTCCTTCTAAGAGAAGAGTATCTTTTCATTCCTTTAAGAGGGAGGTATTTCTTTTTTTGTCGTTTGCCTTCTAACCGTGCTGTCACAGGAGTTTTCTGTAGCTACCCCTGCAGTTGACAACAAAAGCATCTACTGAACACTGCATACAAGGGGGAAAAAAATAATCAAAAGAAGCAGTGATTAACTGTAACATTGAGAAATAATATATTAAAAATACTACAGGACAGCATAGTGAAGTCAAAGTGGTATGGTTCTGTGTAACTGACACACGTGCCTCTGAGAATAGTCTCTGAAGATCTCTACACTTCTTGCTGAGCAAGAAAAAGTAGAGATTTCTTGGGACTTTTGTCAGTGAACATGTGAAAAACAGTAAGCATGTGAGTTGCTATCTATGAACTACGGAAGTACAGAATAATTTGCATTTGGATAAATCTCTAGAAGTCGCTTTGTCCAATGCACCATTCAGCTGCAATAGTTACATAACAGTTTCATTAATATTTTAGGCCACAACTGAAGAATTACAGAATTGATCCATCTATTTTAAATGTTTACAATATGAAAATTGGTATGAAGTAAGTGCTTCTGCTTTCATACGCTGCTTTACTTTTCCTGACTGGAATTCCCCTCTTGCAAAATATTAAAGAGCAAGAGCATTGCCATGTAAGTGAAGCACTCTTTCAAAGTTTTTTTAGTTCCCTCATGTTGAGCTGTTCATTTGCCAAGTCTTTTTGCATGACCACATTCATTGCCCTTCCCTGCCATCGTCCCCAACTTTTGAAGGAGGATGTGATTTAGGTAAGATATTCATTGCTTAATACTGTAAGACCCTGTTATCTTGAAGGAATTCAAGTGTTCACTTTTTGTGCAAGAAAAATTTAGATACAAGAAATAGGAAAAAATTATGAGATTGATTACTTCTCACTGACTTCTACTATGAAGTGATTTATTTGTCTATATGCAGAAGTTTACTTATTTCCTGCTGTGTCTTATTTTCTCTAGGGAGTAGCTTACATATTGAGTCAGAGATAGACAGTGTAAATGTAATTGTGAACACCTTCTGATGTTCCAGGAAAAAAACCCAAACCAACTAAACCAACCAGAAAACCAAAACCAAAACACCTGGGTCAGACCAGGTTTCATTGTTGGATAGCTCAGTGATTTGGCATTTGAATTATTTAAATCGGAGAGGATTTGCAGGCTCTTGCAAAACTCTGCAACATACAGGAAAGGAAGAACCTGGATTCCCTGCACACGGCCCAGGTGACCTAGGCTGCGCAAGGTAAAGGTTAACCCAGATCACTCTACTGTGCTCCACAGAGACTGCTGAGGAAAAAGGTGATTTTCAGCTTATGTTATTCAAGGGCATTCAACGACCTTCCAGCTAGGAAAGGGCTCCTCTCCTTTTTGCGTTTATACGCACAGACTTTGGAAGCCGATGGCACTAGCCTAGGCACACATTTTGTGTGAAAACACGATGCCTTCTCAGATGACCCAGGAAAATGACCTAACCAGTGGGCTATCATGTTTTAAGGGAGTTATCTCTCTGTCTCCTCTTGGAGCTGTCCCACTTAGTGTGGATTGTTAACTATTGACTGAAGCAGGACTTGACCCTGACACGCCTACATTCCGCAAATATTCCCTTACCAGCAGACTCTCACACCAGTCTATTGCTTATCTGTCTCTATAGCGCAGTGAATAAATATACAGAGTGGCTGGATGTCCCTGATGTTATGTAATATTCCACATGCCTAGCTCCTACGAAGACCTTTCTATGTTATTCGAATAGTGTCGGCTGATATTCCAATCCACTACCCACTTCCTGCTAGCTAAGCTCAGGTAGGGATGAGAGGCTGCAGAGGAGAGCAAGGTGTTGCTTTGCTAACATAGCACCCTTCAGGATACTTAAAAGCCACTGTGTCCCCCCGACCTATTGCACCTTCGGCAACAAGTACAGTGACACAGCTTGGCCGTGGCTTCGCAAATTTTTGTTTGTCCCTGCTCTAATTTCAGTGAAAGCACACGGATGCCAGGCACTGAGAAACAATAACTAACTCAGTTTTCTTGGGATTGGGTTTTTTGGTTTGGGTTTGTTTTTTGTTTGTTTTTGTTTGGGGTTTTTTTTGTGTGTGTGTGTGTTTCTGCTTTTGAAATCTTCATTTTTCAAATGGCTTTTAATACTATTTTATGCACATAAAATGCAGAATCTTTTGGGTTGGCTCTCTACCTTCTCTCTTGGGAGCAGAACAAGACAATTGCACTTATTTTATGCCTCGGAGAATGATATGCCCCACTGATTAAACTATTATTTTTCTCGTGTTATTAATATACATTGTTTTGATGAGTTATATGTCTGTTGCATAATGATGACCCTTCTCTTCAACAGAACAGTAAATCACCTATCCTCAGGAAAAACAAGCAAAGGGTACAGCAGCTGGAAAAGCTAGTGTGGTCCATCAGCCTATGAAATATTACTGAGTCAGGAGACTTTTCAAAGATAGCTGCATGCCGGGCAGCAGATGAAGGCAGTGAGCGGAGCATACTCCTGAATGTGTCAGTTGTGCTCCAGCTTTTCTTACAAGAGCCGTGTACTTTGGCAGGATATCAGAGCAAAGCATGTAAAGTGTGAAATATCTGCAAGTAGAGAGCAGAAATTGCTTTTTCTTTTTTCAGGAACTGAATTAAGCATTGTTCATTGGTTTTAAGTCCTTTCTCTTCCCCACAAACAAAGGAAACTATGCTTACCTGGAAGGCCAAATTGTGCACTCCTGAGGGATCACAGTTGGTCTCCGTCAGCTCCATGTGCCTAATCTGGGCAGGAGAGTTTTGGGGGAGTGTTGAAAGCTACTTGCAGCACAGGACAACAGCAGCCAGAATCTGGTTAATCCATCCACAGAACAGGTATCACTTGAAGCCTAGTTAGCTGGAGGCTCTCTCAGATTACTCTTGATCACTCTTAGCTCCACCTTCTCGCTCCCCTGGTACAGCCTTTCTGGCCAGCATGAAAAATGGCATTCAGTGTTTTCAGAGACAAGAAGGGAGGATACCTAGGGGCACCAGAAATATATCTTACCGGGTATATCTCTGGGTGAGTCCAAAGGCAAATGTATGTACTCATAAGACTTCTGGCTTTCCTCGCTTGTATAGGGAAAATCTTCCACACTCAGATTTTGAGAGGTCAACACAGTTTTAGTCTTTTTTACAGGTATTCTCAAGTAACTATTTTTGTGAAATTATTGTAGCTCTATTTTTATAGTAGTTAAGGAGTTCACTCAGGAAGAGAAAAAATCAGAATGAGAACAACTCCCAAAACTCTTACAAATACTGGTAATGCATTTTCAGTTGGCATCCTGTATTTTATGGCATGGAATCATTTGTTTATCTGTCCATAGATTGCTAACCTTTAACCAGAGAGTTTTTCTAACACTTTTCAGGCTTGCTATTTGCAGTATTGCAAATATGCATTCTTAGAAGTATCAGCTGGGTCTCTTCCCCATGTTTTTTGTTGACTATGGACTTTGTGTATACAGATTGTTCTAAGTCTTGAAAACAGTAGCACTATTACAGACACTAATGTCAGACAGGATTTGTGTGAATATAAATTTTGCCTTTAAGAGCAACGAAAATGATAGCGTTCTGTTTCTTTGAAATACAGCAAAGTATATTCATGTATTCATTAGGTGCCTGCATTCATGTCTTTCTACACAGATTGAAACTGTCATGAGTTATGCCTCATCCTGTGAAAAACAAAATATTATGCCCTGTTTTACGTTTAAAGATGGAATGGATTAGCAGGACTGAATATATTATTTGGAATAAAGAACAATTACATGAAAAATAAGATGTGTCTTTCTGAGGAATCCTCCAACTATGTTTTACTAATATTATAAATCATACTGTTGCAATATATATTTTATGAATCTCATAACTATTGCTCAAGAGGGAGAGATAGTTGGGGGTTTTTTTCAGTAAGAAGTGCATGACTTTTAATAATTTATTACGGTTTTCAATGTTCAGAATATTTTTGGTGCCCCAGGTTTTGGAATCAGCATGTTTGTTGCTATTTGTATTTTCCCTCTGAATAGAGGAAATTCTCTGACTAATTGATTCCCTGCACAATACTCTCCAGCAAGAAATAGCTGAAAATACCTTTAACAAGTTTGAGTATAAGTGCCTGCTGATTACTGCATACCTCAGCTGTTTTTATCTTCCTTTCTTCCTTCTCTCCTCCTTCCAATTTTGAACATGCTTTTACTATTAGAAGGCAGAGAAAACAAAGCAATGAATTATTTTCAAATCTGCTCCACGCAGTTTTAAAATATGTAATCTTCACTTGCATGGTTTGAAGAAAGGTCTACCCTGCTAACTATTACAAGATATGAGTATTTTCTGTTATTGTTCCTCTTCTTCTGACAACCCATTATAGTTTTCAAAACTTGTTTTCTCATTGAAAAATCTCAGAATAACACTGACTCAATAATTTCAGTGCAGTTTTCTCCTCTGAATTATATTTTATGTTAAAAAACTCAGAGGATATTGAAAAAAAAATCCACACATCCAAGACAAGTCCTGAGATCACTGTAAAGAGAATGAAATATGCCATTTCTCTGTGGACAGAGGACCATACAGTTAAAGAAAAGGTGGAAACTCGCTGATATTTTTTGACAGGAATATATTTATATATATATGAATTTTATATGTATATATATATATATATATGTATTAAAAATATTGGTCAGAAATATATTTAGTGTTTGACTAACAGCAAAACCCCTTCCTGTTTCTAGTTAGTTTAAATATTTACATGAACACATGGGTGAACTCCTTAACTACTATAAAAATGTCGTGCAGCTTGGTTAGGCCAGAAAGGCTTTTTTGGGTAGTATAGAAATATTAATCAACAGCACTGCTTACAGTATAAACATCAGGCAAATACATAGCAATGTGATTCATGCTAATTTGCTAGATGCATAGAAAAGATGAGCAGGAATATTAAAAACAAGTAAAATATCTAAAAAAGAGTAGAGTCATTCTGTTTTTTTTCATTGTTGAACTGTGGGAAGCAACTTCATAGTTAGGACATGTAAAGTTGTTCAAAAAGTCAAATTTTTTACATACTTAATTGATCCTATTAATTATCTATAGTTGTGCTAATAATACTCAGCTGTGGTTTCGAACATTTCATTTCAAAGTTTCAAAAGCTTTGAGATAAACCAATCTCAGTCTCTCTTACATGCTCTGAGTAAACTGCTCCTCAGTGGAAAGGTCAATGAAAGAAAAACATGATTATCACTGACAAACGGTTGGCAAATAGAAGGTTAGTTCCTTTACATTTTGCTATATATCCTAACCTTTATTTAGCCAGTCCTGCTTATCCCTCTACTGACTTCTTTAAGTGAAAAAGATGTCTTCCATATTTGAAAAGACACGGACCAAAAAAAATGTATTTTGTTAACATCTATAATCCCCAATCTCAAGTGTTTGCAGTATGGCCCATTCAGTTTTTAGAAATACTTTCATTTTGATACTAATGTAAAAGATAAACTCTAAACCTCCACATTATCACGAGAATGAAGGACGTAGGGAAGAAAATACTATTTTGGGGGGAAAGAAATATAATTTTATGTGTGTAAAATTGTCCCTCAACACATACTTTTCTTGGAAAATATGACTTTGGGACTCATTTTTAGCAGAGGGAAACTTCCCCTCCCGGTTTTCCAGGAGGTTTTCCTGGTCCTGCATTCTTAGGGAAAAGGGGACAGTGAAAAGCTCTTTGCCAGATAAAGAAAAAAGCCATAAAAAAATCAGAATGCTGTCAAGTGTGATGAAATCCGGGCACTTGTATACAAAGTGACTGTAAATGAGGTGGCTGAGTGGCCTTCTTCCCTCCCAGGCTGGGCTGTGAGTTCAGTTTTTGGTCCTCACTAGTCACAGCCTCTTGCCCAGTAAATCTCCAGCCCCTATTCTGGCTCCCAGCTCTCCTGGGATCTTTTCAAATCTGTACGATTTTGAGCAGATTTGTTATCTTCCTTCTTTATTTTCTCTTGGTCACTTCCTGGTTTTTCTGTGGCAGTAGAAATGAAACTGTTTCATGCTTACCAGTTGTCCTACAGTTCCCCTTCACTAAAGGAAACGCTGTAAAAAAGTGCATGTTTGACAAATGTAATGAACTAGGGAGGAAGAAAAACCTTAGAGGAAAGTCAAGGGCCTTTGAGAACTATTGTATTCTCCCTTGTGACAAATACCCATGTAAGGCTAAACAAAAGGAATCTTATACCTATTGATTCTCAGAGAGTAGCAGTAAGTTCGGAAGAGTTCAAAGTGACCATCCCAGAGGGAGGAGGCTTTCTGAGAAACATAGAAAAAGGATTTTATGTCATACCTTAATTGTGTGATACAAGGGCTAAGTAAAAGAAAATAACACTACATAGATGCTTCCATAGCATGTTCATGTGAACATGGAATGAAAACAAACAAACAAATAAAAGCATATAAAAGAAGAAACTTATACACTTAAAGGTAATAGAAAGGTTTACTTTAAAGAATACTAATAAGGAAACTACCTAATAAGGTAGAGATCTTAACTAGGTTCAATGACTGTTTCAAAAGTGTTTGGCCATCTGCAGGTGGAAGCTTCTATGTGAACATGGGCTCAAAGACAGAAAAATGCTATTAGGCTTACAAAGTTGTCTTTTAATGTCTTATTCATCTAAAATTGTCTTATTTATCTAAAATATCTTTATCAATAGATGAATTTTTGATATAATTATCTAAATCTAACTGAAGAAAAAAATATCTATTTGTTCTCTCTCACTTGTACTGTTTTTTCTAAACTTTTATCCCTAGAAATATAACTGGCATCAATCTGCAAATGTCATCACATGCAGACATGGGCTGAAACAATGTTTCTTTTAGGCAGTGGGTTTGGGTTGTGTTCTTTGTTTGGTTTGGTTATTAGTTTGTGTGGTTTTGTTTATCAGTTTTGTTTGTTTTTACTAGTGCTTGCTAAATTACACCTTCTGTATGCTGGAAAACTTTTCCACACCATTTCTGATCATTGCTTAGACACACGAATAGACCCTATAGACTGTGTAAAGACAACTGATTTTGGTGTGTAATTTGTGTCAATATGCTTCATGCAGCATGCAGTTTAGGTTTGGGTATGTGTGTAGTCTCATTAGTTCATTTTTACTTTGTAATAATTTTGCCTTTCTGTAAAAGTTCTATTCAGTGGGATGAAATGGAACAGAGTTGATGAGATAGACAGTCACTGCTCCCGTGAAAATTGGACTTCTGATATAGAAAGTGAATTAAAAGTAAATAATGCATACATGCAAAGACAGGTGTGACAAACCTCGTGGAAATTAATTTATAATTATGATGTCAGGGGAAACTCAAGGTCTTTCTGTAGTTCTATTTGAGTGTGGCTGGCATATTCAAGGGCTGTGTATGCCTGTGGGCATACCGGGAGTGCTTCGCAGACGCTTCCCAGCTTTTCTCTGTACAGATGAGAGAGTGGTCTCGTTTGTGACAGATTACTTCACTGAATTTCTAGCTTGCTTTGTCTCAAAGCAGCTGCCTAACTGACACTCGATCTCCCCAAGTGCTGGATTCCCAGCGATGCCAGGCCTTTCCCTGGCACCTCCTTCAGGGCTGAGACCAGTAGTTAAATGCTACATGCACTTTGGGATGTGTCAACTGACACCCTGGGTGGGGAAATGGAGTAATTCTGGAGGCTCCTCGGGTAAGGCAGGTCCTATTGCAGGGAAAGAAGTTGACCAAAATGTGCACAGATAAGAGAATCTGAATAATTGAATTTTGAATAATCAGTAGAAACTCTTCCTGTAATGGGAAGGTCTTTTGTATACAGCTAAGACAGTTAGAATATGTTTTGCAGGTACTTTAAATTAGCACATGCAATTATTGGAGTAGTTGCCCTGCTAATAGGACTAGAGCAGGACACTTAATAATCCCTAGAGCTGTAAGAGTTCATCTCAGCTG